GCACACACACAGACACACACACACACACACACACACACACACACACACACACACACACACACACACACACACACACACACACGCATTCATTCACATAAGTAAATCTAAAACCTTGAAGATCCAGGAAGAGTGCAGGATGTCACAGCCTGAGCACCACTGTAAAGCAGCACCCTCCTGACAGCCATTGATCCAAGTCCTGCCTCTTAAATTTCAGTGCTGACCGAATTTGCCTCCAATGGCTGTGAAGAACACTGTCTCTACAAAGTGCCTTGCGGGAGGAAGGGCTTTTTCTACTCTTTCATGTCACAGTCCATGGCTGTGGGAAATCAGGACAGGAACCTGGAGCCAGGAACCGAAGCAGAGGCCATGGAAGAACAATGTTTAGTGGCCTGCTCCCCCTGGCTCATCAGCCCAATTTCTTTCTCCTTCCTTCCTTCCTTCCTTCCTTCCTTCCTTCCTTCCTTTCTTCCTCCTCCTCCTTCGTGTGTGTGTGTGTGTGTGTGTTTTCTGTGTAGCCCTGGCTATCCTGGAACTCACTCTGGAGACCAGGCTGGCCTCGAACTCACAGAGATTCGCCTGCCTCTGTCTCCCGAGTGCTGGGATTAAAGGTGCGAGCCACCACCGCAGGCCTGGCCCAGCCTACTTTCTTCTACAGCTCAGGACCATCTGCCCATGGGAGGCACCACCAAAGTAAACCTTCACATCAGTCTTTAATCAAAAAAGTGTCCCACAGACTGAGGTTACACTCCCCGCATGACTGTAGTTTGTGTCAAGTTGACAAACTTACACATTCAAGCCATGGCAAGCAGATTGCAGGCACCTTCGGTTGTTTCCCAACCCCTATTGCAACTTGGGAAGGAGAGGCAGGAGGATCCGGAGTTGAAAGTCATCTTCAGCTAAGAAGCAGAGTCTGAGGCCCGCCTGGGCTATATAAGACCCTATCAGGGCTGGAGAGATGGCTCAGAGGTTAAGAGCACTGACTGCTCTTCCAGAGGCCCTGAGTTCAGTTCCCAGCAACCACATGGTGGCTCACAACCATCTGTAATGAGATCTGGTGCCCTCTTGTGGCCTGCAAGTATACATATAGGCAGAACTCTGTATATATAATAAATAAGTCTTTTTTAAAAAGACCACATCAAAAAATAACTAAAAAGGAAGTAAAAAGAGGCACCAGCTGTTGGGATTCACACTTGAAACCCCAGCACTAGAGAGGATGAGGCAGGAGGGTTTAGATCTACAGGCCACAATAAAGACTGTCTCACAAAACAAAGGGAGAATGTGACTTTATTGGCTGCACCCTAGTTAAGGAGGTGATGGTTTCAGGGTAACTACTGACAGCAGACTTTATTAACCTAGGACAGAGGCTTTTGCTGTCAGCCTGTAGGGCCTGGGGGAAGACATTAGGTTCAAATCTATGACCTGCACAAGGTATTTTCCCCACCTCAGATTCCTAGGGCAAAGGACTCGGAAGACAACAGCTTCATTTTCTGGATTTTTCTGGGTCTCATCCAGATTCTTCAGGCGTCTGTGTGGAGAAGCTCAGTATTTTCAGCTGCTCAACCTGGAGCCTCCCTCTCAGGGTTCTTCCTGGGACCCTTTAGTCACACATTTTTATTTTAGTGTTTGTTTGTTTGCCAATGTGTTTTCAAAACTCCTTCCTGTTTCAGATGTTTGCATCATGCTAGAGGTAGGAGAGCTCACTTACAGCAAGAGGGGTCTCTGGATAAGGTCTATCTATCCCTGATCTCACTGGGGTTGTTTTTGTTGTTTTTGTTGTTTGTGGGACCTGGTCTCACTGTGCAGCCTTCTGTCCTGGAACTTGCTGTGTAGATGAGGCTGACTTCAAGTCACAGACTCTCTTGTCTCTGCCTCTTGATGCTGAGATCAGAAGCGTGATCCACCATGGCCAGAATGATGGATTATTTTTTTCATAGATAGAGCTCACAAGTTTAGGATTGTATTCTTGATCAGGTGAGAGCGTTCAGCAACAGAGTCCTTGCTTAGACTCCCCCAGTGAGGGGCTGGGGGCATGGCTCAGTGGTAGAGCCCCTGCCTAGAATCCACCAGTGAGGGGCTGGGGGGTGTGGCTCAGTGTTGGAGCCCCTGCCTAGAATCCCCCAGTGAGGGGCTGGGGCGTGGCATTTGAAAGGTCCTGGGTTCAGTGCCAACATCTCAAAAAGAATTTGGCACTGGAAAGAGGGCTTAGTGGTTCAGAGCTCTGGGTATTCTTTTTTTTTTTTTAATTTTCTAGTTCAGTATGGGTTAACTCTGCGTATTCTCATAGAGGGTGCAGGTTGGGTTCCCAAAACCCTCATGTTTGCTCACAACTGGCTGTAAGTCCAGTTCCAGGATCTTATGCCCTCTTCTAGCCTCTAAAGGCAATGCATGAAAAGTAAATCTTTAAAGAAAAAGAACTGGGGCTGGAGAGATGGCTCAGAGGTTAAGAGCATTGACTGCTCTTCCAGAGGTCCTGAGTTCAATTCCCAGCAACCACATGGTGGCTCACAACCATCCCTTATGAGATCTGGTGGCCTCTTCTGGTCTGCAAGCATACATGCAGACAGAACACTGTATACATAATAAATAAATCTTTAAAAAAATAAATAAATAAGAAAAAGAAAAGGAACTCTTCCGTGATTTCTGCTGGTGTTAGGTAGGTTGCAGTTTAAAGTCTGAGTTTTAGGAACAGAGTAACTCTGTAGCTGTGGAAGGGAGATTAGTATCTTGTAATGTAAATTGCAGAGGTAAACATTACAATATCCAAAAAATACTAAAATTAAATAATTGGGCTCAACAATATATTGTTGGTGAAAGAGAAATGAACGGATGAACTAGCAGACAGGGTGATAGAGACTACTCAATCCAAACCAAGACAAAACGGACTGAAAAGGGATCGCCAGATCACAGGCGTAGTGGCGCACGCCTTTAATCCCAGCACTCGGGAGGCGAGGCAGGTGGATCTCTGTGATTTTGAGACCAGCCTGTTCTCCAGAGCGAGTGCCAGGACAGCCTCCAAAGTCACAGAGAAACCCTGTCTTGGAAAAATAAATAAGTAAGTAAATAAATAAATAAATAATAAAAGAATAATAATAAAAAAAGTCTGAGGGGCTGGTGAGAGGTCCCCGCAGGTAAAGCGCACGCTGTGTAAACCTGCTGGCTGAGTGAAGTCCAGGAGTCCACGCTGCAAAGCTGTCCTCATCATCTCCATGAGCTCGTTCCCACCCCAGCAAAACACACTCAGATAAAATGGTGAGGGAAGCCAGGTGTGATGGATCCCACTTGTAACCCCAGTACACGGCAGGCGAAGGCAGGAGTGGATTCAGGGGTAGCCTGGGAGCTCAGAGCCAACTCCTCCCAGCACCAGTCAGAGAATGTCTGTCTGCCCAGAGGTCTTCTGGGGGGACACACCCATCAGCAGTCACCCTCAGGCAGCCAGCCATGCTCCCACTGTGGAGTTTGAAATGGCCACGGATGCAATGCCAGCCTCTGTCCTGTGGTGCTGCAAAACAGTCCCGCCCACCTGGGATCCTGAGGGAGAAATGCCCTCCTGTGCAAGCAGTAGCAGGCTGCCAGGCTGTCTCGGGATCTTTTGGTCCCATTCTGACACTCCCAAGACGGCCAATAAAGTTTACTTTGAACCAGAGGATGGAGCTAGCCACTAGCTGATCAAAATTAGCCAGAGAGGTTTTGGAGGACCAAGGACCCATAGAGATACATGGGAAGTAATAGGATGAGGCTTAGAAGATCCTTGACTCTTTTTGGATTGAGGAAGGAATGAGAGAGGAGATCACTGGTCATTTCTCTGCCACTTGTCTGACCATTCCACGTCTTGCCCTGATATCTGGCTCCAGAGTTTTGATCGATAAAGGATAATTAAATAAACACTTGATCTGTTGTTAGCTTGCATGGCCCGAGATCATGAGACAACCACTTGCTGCTGGCTTTGTAGCCACCCAGAGTT